CAGGTTGGGGTGTGTGATGAACAGCTTTGTGACTGGGAATGGCTGAGAGTGTCTGGGAGTGTTCATGGACTGTGGACTAGGATTGGAATCTTATCAACTGGGAATTTCCCTTGGAAGGGGCTCCCAGGATGGGATATTTTGGGGTCTCCAGGTGGGGAGCGAGGTCCCCTCTGACCTTGGCGATCTGGTCGAACTTGCCAAAGAGCTCGTTGAGCATGAGCACCAGCTCCTTAGGGGAGCACTCACTGGCCAGCCGCGTGAAGCCCACGATGTCCGCATACAACACACTGCACAGGGCAGGCTACGTCAGTGGGGTGAGGGTCTCAGCACACAGGTCTCAGCCCTCCCCTCCAGTCAGCCTTTCTCATACCTTACTCCCTGGTGCCTCTTGACATAGAGGCTGTGGAAGTTGTTGGTGCTTTCCGGTCGTGACCCCTGTCCAGCCTGAAGCCGTGCCATGATCTCTGCCTTCATCTCTCGGGCCAGGTAGGCAGGAAGGATGGAGAGAAGTAGGTGTTCCTGCAGGAGGTCACTATGACCACCAACCCTCCTATGCTCTAAAGCGAGGATCCCCAGCCCCTCCCCTCAGGAGCCTACATGGCTTTTCAGGATGCTCCCCTAGGTCCTGTGGTTGCACAGCAGGGCTCCATCAACCGTTCTGCACTGATCACCTCTAGGGACTGAAGTACTGACTCCTGAATTAGAGCTCTTCACTCAATATCATAACATTCTAAAGTGTTTTCATAAGCGTGGGTTTGTTGAAACCGCACAACAACCTTCCAAGGGGGGCAAAAACAACATTTTATACAAAAGAGGAAAGAGAAGGTCAAGGGACCTGCCCAGAGTCACTTGGCTTCTGAAGGAGCCCTGTTATGTTATCTGAGCACGGGTCCCAACTGGCCATTTAGACTGGGCTGACCTGGTGCTTCTTCTCGGTGTCCAGCCGACGGCGCGAGTGCAGGGAGCTGAGGGCCTCTCTGAAGGTGGCACGCAGTGCGCACTCCATCAGCGCCTTGTGGTACGCCCCCACCACATTTCCACATAGGAACAACACTGCATTTGCTGCCAGCTGTGGGTGAGGGCCAGCATCAGAGGGTGCCAGATGAAAAAGGGCATGGGATTGGCTGTGTGAGTAGCTGGAGTCAATCTCCAAGACTAGCGGGGAGGACTGGGCTTTATAGTTCCAGATCTAAGTCTGCAGGACCAGTGGTGCCACACTGTGGGATCAGAAGGGGCATTTCCCCTTCCCTAAGCTTCCTGCTTCGACCTCTTAGCTATGACACTAACACTGCCTTTTGGGTCTAGAAACCTTTGAGGGTACGTTTCCTGTCTGGAATAAAATACCACTATCCCTACCCTGGGCCAACTCCCCTCTCTCAAAACTGTTCAAGCTTCAATTTTACTTTCTTATGAAAGTTCCATCCTCCACATCTGTCCTTATCCCCTGAATCCTCGGGAAAAACATGACTCCTTTTTCTGTGGGCCCAGAACCTTCTTCTGGTACCTGTAGGCATCGCACTACCAGCTCCACAGGGCACAGTCAGGGTCTATCTGTGTTTATACTGGGCATCAGGAGCTTCTAGGAGTCAGCTCAGCACTCCCCAGAGGAACTACTTAGCATGTGGCAGAGCCCGCCCTGGCCACTTTGTGTTCACCTGTGGCAGCAGTGCAGGCCGTAAGTCTGGCTGAGGCCCAAGGTACAGCCCGAGGACCAGCAGGTGCGAGAGGGAGGAGGTGAGACCTGCGGCAACAGCATCCCGCATGCCCAAGGGCAGCATGGCATACACGGTGAAGATGACAAAGAGAAAGAAGGACACCTGCAGTGGAGCACAGGAAGCCGAAGGCCTACGTTGTGGTGCCCATAGCCTGATAGAGGTTCGAAACCAGGACATCCCTGCCCCCACTTCACCTGCTGCCCCCTCACCTGATCCCAGGCGCTCACCACACCCCCAGTGAACAGGAAACCGTGGCCTAGCGAGAGCAGTGCAGCCCATACTAGGCCAGACAGGGGACGTGTCCAGCGCTGCAGTCGCTGCTCCCGGGAAGCAAGGCCCAACAGTAAGGAGAAGGCACCCAGCGCACAGAGCACAGTGGTCAGGAAGCTGGGGTCTGCGGCCAGCTCCTGTGGGGAAGGGGTGTGTGAGCCAAGACTGTCATGGGAAGACTGCGGAGCTCACCCAAGGCCAGGAGGAACGAAGGGATAGAGGAAGAACAGGCAGCCCCTCAGCCCAGGTCTGAAAAGTCTCAAATTCAAGTATGAAAACGAGGCAGGGCACCTCTGCTTGCCATTCATATTTCAAAGGTCGAGCCCTTTGAAATTGCCTATGTCCTACTGTTTTATCCAGACTTGAAGAAAATCTCATGGGTTCAAACTAGTATCTCACTCTCATGGACGACTCAGCCTGGGACATCTACCCTGCATGAGGTGAGTCCCACTCTGTATGGGCTGTTTGTGAATCTATCACCTTTCTTAATCTCAGTTTTCTTATCTATCAAACCGGAATCATGGAATCCACCTGTGGTCCTGAAGAAAGTGAAAGATCCTAGGTTACAGAAGCCACTCAGAGATGAAATGTCTCCAAATTCAGACAATTTGCTCAGGAGTGTCGTCCCAGTCCCCAGAACCTGTGGCTCAAAGCTTCGAGGGAAGCGCAAAGCAGCCCTCGGGCAGCAGGGGGCGCCCGGACCCGCCGTGCCACGCATTTTCTTCACACGCAAGGGCTGCGCTCTTGCCACCTGCCTTAGCTCAGGGCTGTAGAAGTCTCACAGCTGTCCCCGCCCTTTGTCCCCACCTCTTCCCGAACTTCGGGGTGGACCAACAAGGATCGACCACTCCCGTTAATTTTCCCACCTTGCCTCAAAGAAGTGAAAAGAAAACACGGAGCAGACTATTTCCAGAAAGAGAATTGAAGCACCTTCCCTCCCCAAACAGAATTTGGAAATGGATTTATTTTGGGAATAAATAAGAGAGAAGGAGGGAGCTCACTGGGAGTCTGTGGGGGCACATCTGCCCCACATCCCCTAAATGGGAGAGAAAACCAGGAAATGTTATTTCCCCTGGGGCCTTAGTAGAATTTCCCCTCTGGAAAATTGGAAAATCCGGTGATGGATTTGTTGTAGAACCAGTAGACCACAGAAGCTCACAAGGTCTGTCAGAATCCAGGCAGAACCAGGAGGCCCCAGGACTCAGCTACCAAGAGACCACCTCCCAGAAGGGTGAAGACCAAGAGACCACCACCCAGAAGGGTGCAGTGGTGACTTGCCCAGGGTCACTACAGTTCACAGTAAAGCTCAACGCTTGTTCCTGGCTCCCACCAAGGAAAACACAAGGAAAAGAAGACCCCACAAATCCTAACCCTAAAAAAATATGCTCCAGGCAGTGACCTTCCCCAGACTTCTCATTAGAAACGAGGCCCAGGCGCACCCCACCAGAAGCCAGACTCACCCTGCCGCTGGCCCAGGCGACAACGAGCAGCGCCACCAGCGTGCAGAGAACGATCACTAGCAGCAGTAGCAGCAGCGGGTACTGCTGGCTCAGGCTGTAGTAGGTCTCGTAGAAGAGGTCTTCGCTGGGGGGTGGCCGGGGGCTGAAGAGGCGAGCCATGGTCTTCCCTGCAGCGATCCCCAGGGCTGGGGAGTGCCCCGGGCCAGGTTTCCTCCTGTGACCCAAGAGGCTACACTGGGCCTTTTTCACTCAGAGCCAGTTCCACACCGCGCCCCAACCTCTCAGCAACCTGCCTCCCTCCAGGCATTCCCTGCAGCCTCCCAGCCCACTCCCAGCTGGTGTGGGGGGGTCTCAATCTTCCCCCCTCCTCCCTCAAACTCAGACTATGGAGGTGTCCTAGCAAAAGCCTCATGGTAAGGGGGACAGGAACTTGAGATTGATATACAGGAGCCCCAGTTTCCCCCTTTCCCCTAAACTCACTGCCCGCGATGCTGCTGCAGCTGAGTGAGCTGAGTCTAGCTAGGAAGCCGAGGAGGTTGGTCGCAGAGTCACTCTCAAGCCAGTGGTTCAGAACCCTGGGCTGGTGACAGGCTCTTCCCTCCTGGTGCTGCTGGCCCCCTCCCACTTCCTCGCCAGGACTGCCCGGCCCCTTCCCGTGGGGGAGTCAGACTCCCTGGTCTCCTCCCCTACTCACATCATCTCTCTTAATACCATTGCCTCCCCATTTCAGTCCTCTCAAGGAAGGGGACTGTGGACGGTGGGAGAGACGGGAAGAGGTGGGGTGGGGTGGACCGAAGGGGAAGAAGTGTCAGCACTGGGAGGAATGTTTAGATGTGGGGAGACTAAGGGAGGGCTGAAGCCTGGAGGGAATGTAGGGAAGGGTGTAGGACTGGGGCCAGATGGGCACTGGGACCTAGGTCAGAGTTGGGGTGCTCACTCCCCTCATCTCCTCGTGGCTGGCAAGCATTGTAGCAGGGTCTTAACTGCCCATGCTATCTCCAGCTCCAGGGGAGGGGCCACATCTATGTGTAGCTCTGTGGAGACAGCTTTTCACTACCAGGCCCTGAGAATCAAAAAGGGCTCCCATGCCCAGGGAGCACTGTGCACATGGATGTGTATGGTGGAGGCAGGTGATAGTAGGAGGGTGAGCCTGAGAACACCATGAAGGTGAAGAGAAGGGCCAGAGTCTGTGAATTCTGCAGAGACTTGCTCCCTTCTCTAGGGTCTGGGAGCAACCCAGAAGAAAAGGAACCACAGCCTCTATCCCCAGAGTTTAGGATTAGGATGAGGTCAAAGTCCCCAGCTCTAGAGGAACCTCCTGCCCCTGAGATTAGAGTGGACTGGAAAGCCAGGCCTCCAGGATTCCTTCCTGTCATGGGTTGGGCCCTGACCTTGTGTGCCAGGCCATTGGTCCAGTCCCAGCCCCCCAGCATTGTCTGCTTCCTGCCTTGGCCAAGCTACAGTTCCTCCCCCTCCCTCACTGCCAGCCCCTCTCCCCCATTCTTGGCCCTCCCTGCCCCTGGCTGAACCACAGACGTCTGCAGCAGGCTTTGGCTAACATTTCATCACATTTATTGATTTGGGGTAGGCAGATACAGTCAGTTTGGGTGCAGACAGGACTGCCCTTGAAGGAAGTTGAGGGCCACAGGCGTGGTGCTCTTCATTTACCCCTGGAAGCAGCTTCGAAAGTGCTTTAATTCCCACTATTATCACACTGGCCTTGTGGCCCTCTCTAGGCTTCAGAGTTTGGGGGGGCCTCTTCTGAAGCTCCTGGTGGGGGGTGCTGCCAGCCCATACCCACATCCAAAGGTGCTTGGTGCTGGGTGGACGAGATAGGTCTCTGTAACATAGTCAAGTAGTTGTCTTTTCCAATTTGAACCCCGGAACTGTTGAATATGTTAACAGATAGTGGCCCTTGAAGAGAAATAGTGGTAGTGGGAGGGTTTAGTGGTCAGAAAGGCAAACTTAGGGAGCCCAGAGTATGGGGTATTTGCCTGCTAGTAGCTGTGTGCCCTGCACCTTCCTCTTCAGGTTGCCTCTTCAGAACTGGGTTTGCAGGCTCAGCGCCATAGCTCAGTGAGTAGGGTGCTGGCCACATACATGAAAGCTGGCGGGTTCGAGCCCAGCCTGGGCCTGCTAAAACAACAATGACAACTGCAACCAAAAAAGAATAGCCAGGTGTTGTGGCAGGGGTCTGTAGTCTCAGCTACTTGAGAGGCTGAGGCAAGAGAATTGCTTAAGCCCAAGAGTTTGAGGTTGCTGTGAGCTGTGATGCCACAGCACTCTACTGAGAGTGACATATGAAACTATCTCAACAACAACAACAACAACAACAAAAAACTGGGTTTGCAGAGGCTTAAGAGGCGTGGCAACTGACATTTGAAACCCTAACCTTTTTTGCTGGGAGGCCCTCTGGACTACTTAGGGACTTACAAAGCTGGTACTGGGGAAAATTAGAAAACCCAGGGATAGTCTGGGTTTTGTTGTGTGACCTCAGGAGGATCCTCTCCTAGGGGGTGCCAATTTCTTCATTTATGAAATGAAAAGTTTGAGTTAGATCATCTGTAAGGCTTTCTCCCCTCCCCCAACAAAGTGCTCTGGATCTACATATAGGTGTTGAGGAAGAAGCTGGTAGAAGGATTGATAAGGGTAAAGGAAGGGATAGAAAGTGGGTACCTGCTATTGGATTTGGGGTCCAGGCATTGGAGGACCAGTTCATGTCATCTCTCTCAGCTCCCTGGAAACAACACAGAGCTCTCAAGCTTGTCCTGGAGACTGGCTCTCCCACTTATACATCCTTTCAGCCCCAAGTTTACCCTGGCAAGTGGATAGGAGTCACAGGAGCCCTAGTGCAACTCCTAGGTCCAAAAATGTCTCACCTGATTCCTTTGGGGTCCAGGACCTAGGGCCCCAGCCAACGGGGGGCTGGGCATCTGATTTCTGAAAGGTGCAGTCCTTGGAGTTTGAGGAGGTTGGGCCATTGAATCTGAAGATGTTCTTGCCATGCCAGCATGCTGAGCCTGTTCCGCCTGTGCCCTGCTTCTGTCAGTAAGTCTTGTGCACTTTTTAGGAACAGAGCTGGAGGTCTCCTCCAGACTCAGGTTCTTCAGTTTAGAAACCACAGAACTGTCACTAGAGCTCGGGGTTTCTGTGTTTCCCCGAAAGCCGTCCATTTCTGTTCCTCCTTGGCTTGACTCTGGAGCAGACAATCTGTTGCTGCTCCTGTGCTCAGACAGAAACTTCCTTACCTGCAGGGATAGGAGGAGCTTGCTGGGCACGAGTTAGGAGAGCCAGAGTAAACTCAGGGGAGCAGAAGATTTTTGTTCATAATCTGTTGAAGGGGAATTTGAGGATAGTGTGGGGAAGGTAGGGGCGATGGTCAAGGCATAAAAAGTAGCAGTCAATGGGGAGTCGTTGGATGGCCAGGTAGCCATGTTGTGCCATCCTTGACTAGCTCCTGGGGGCAGAGGCTGTCGGGTGCTCACCATGGTGACTGCAGCATCTATCTTCCCCTCCAATTGAAGGAAGGCTCCATCGGTTATTGGTTGGCAATCTGGAGGGACAGCAGAGTGGGTTGCAGGTGAGCAAAACTTCTACCTCTGAGAAAAGCCCACCGCCAGATCAAAGCTTACCCCGGCTACCAGCTAAATGGCCAGCTCACCCTTGAAGGGCGGCCTGTCCTCAGGCTTACTGCTCCAGCATTGCTGCATTAACTCCTTCAGTCCTTCCAAGCCAGGCATTTCAGGCCCAGATTGGGGCAGCTCATCCAAGGAAGGCCGTTGCTGCATCTCACCCAGTACTACATACACTGATAGTGTCTGGTTTGGCACTGGGTGGGGGAGGTATGAGACAAGAAGGTATTTGGGGTATGAGGAAGTATATTCCAAGAAGTAGATGAGGAGGGAACAGGCAGTCTAAGAAGGTAAGGAGGAAAGGGAAGCCTTGGAGACTTTTAGAGGAGGGCATCTAGGGTGAGGGATCCCAGAGTCTGGTCTTACACTTAGCTTCTCTTCCGGCTAGCACTGCCCACGTTAGGATCCCGAAGCTGCAAGAGACAGACACAAAGCTGAGTCCAATCTGACTGAGTCCAAAGCTGAGTCCACAAGCCTGGTCCAACCACTGGCAAGATGCCGTTCTCATATACCATCCCCTAGAAGGGCCCAGAGAGTGTAGAAATCTGGGATGTGTGTTTGGGGTGGGTGCCTTACCTGTAGACATCACTGGCCGTAGAGGTCTTCTGGTTTACACTAGCAAACAGTTCTGGGGCCAAGTAGGCCAGAGTGCCCCCTGGCTCCCCAGACCCTGTCCCTGACTGTGAATTTCCCTGAAATGTAGATAGGCCAAAATCTGCCAGCTGGGAAAGAAGGGAAGAAAGGGAAGGTAAGGGAGAAAAGGAAGGGTCAGGCAGCCTCCAAGACCCCCTTGCCCCCAAAAGTACAGGTCGAGTTTTGTAAAGGGGGTGTGAAGGGTCCGTGGGGCCCTTGGGTGGGAGATCTATGTTTCCTGTGGATGAATTTGGGTTAGGATTTGAGTCTCTTGATCAGGGTGGACCTTGGCTCTTGAAAGGTCCTGCTGGAGTGGACTTGTGGAACTGACTCGGGTGGGTCTAGACCTCAATCACCTGGTATGTTAGGGGCTAAAACTCCTGGCTGGGGCTTGACCTCTGGGCAGCCTGTGTCCAGAGGGAGAGCAGCTGAGGGTATTCAATAGACAGAGCTGTCCGGTGGGCGGGGCTGTAGCAGCTCTTGGGCGGGGCGTGGATGAACTGACCTTGGCGTGCAGCTCTGGGTCCAGCAGGACGTTGGAGGGCTTGAGGTCTCGGTGCAGGAGCGGCGGGGTAAGGCTGTGCAGGTAACACATCCCAAGCACCACTTCCCGCAGAAGGCGGTAGAGGAGCGGCCAGGCTCGAGGGCACTGGGGTTGTAGCAGCCCCGCCAGGGAGCCGTTCTCCATGAATCGAGTCACCAGACCCGGACCCGACACGTAGTCCCACTCTAGGTTCTTGATGACCCCCAGGAGGAGCAGCACGTACTCGTTACGCAGACTTGCCATGGCCTTCACCTCTTTGGATATCTCCTCCCTACAGTCCAGGAGAGGGCTGCAGTCATGCCGGGATCTTGGCAATACCACCCCCACTACCCGGTCTTCCTGATTTAGGCCCTGGAGCATAGCGGCTCCACCTCCTTGGCCAGACCCCAGCCAGCTTGCAGCTCAGGGTGCTCACGAGTTCACGATCTTGACTGCCACATCGATTTTCCACTTCGCATGATGCGCTCGGAACACCACGCCGAACCCGCCTTTGCCAATGATCTTCGGGTTCTCCAAATCCCCATGGGACATCAGGGGAGCGGAGTCACCACTGGCCCTGCGAGAGGGATCTCGCCCATTATCTGGCCGTGCCCGGAGTCCGCGCTGCTATCCCCAAACCCCATGACTCGACATCGTCAGTACAATCTCCAGCCTCCTCGACCAGCTCCTACAGTCCCGGGGCTCAAAGGCATTCTCGGAAGACATTTACTCGGGGTGGGGGCTGGGGAGTGTTGAGGAGCTGCCGTGTGTGTCAATGCCGGAGGCTGCAGATCTGCACCCCACTTCCTACTCACCATGACTTGCGAGACATCAGGCTGGAAGGTTTGAGGGACTTCTGGAAGTTGTAAGCCTCACAGATGGAGGTTGGGGTTTGGGGCAGAGAAGGGGAAGGGGCTGGAGAGGGATCGACCTAGGCCAAGGCAGGGATTCCGCTTCCCGGGTCGCCACCCCAATAGTGAGTGACCGAGCCACTTCCTTCCCCTATGGGGCCTCTACAGTCCCGCCCCCAGGGTGGGGCAGAAGGAAAGTAGTGAGCACGATTCTCTTTGCCCAGAGTTGTTTCCTGTGCACCTGGTGCATACGGGTGCCAGGTTGGGTGTAGCTGGGCATTGAGAGTGCCAAGGAAGGAGTCCTCCCTTTCTAGGAACCAAAAATCAACCCAGCCTTCCAGCCCCTGCCCCTCCCTTTTCCCCTGGGATTCCTAGCTCCACCACCCCCAGGTCTCCCATGGGGAGGAGGAGATGGTCTTTAGGAGAGTTTTGTGGTTTTAAGGCTCAGCTCTCCCACAGCTGGCCTAAGAGCATAGCCTATGCTCTATAAAGCTTACCACTGACCAGGCACACATACTAGCTTATTTAATTCTTACATTGACCCTCAGAGGATAGGCACTATTATTTTCCTTTTATAGATGAGGAAACTGAGACATTGATAGTTTAAGCACCTTGTACAAACCCACCTGGAAATGACTTAGTGTCCAGCTCTGAACCATCATTTACACCTAGGCATCAGGACTGTACAACCCAGCTGGCTGTGCAGGTGGCTGGAGATGGTGTGAAGCTTCCAGTGTAGTGAAGAGCTCCTATCTGTATTCCTGCCCAATCCCAAGCAGCTGAAAATTTCCTCAGCTGCTCTTGCTGAGGTAAGCCCCTGATATTGATAGGGACTTATTTGCCCTTCAAACAGGAGTTCTTAGAGCTAGCAGGCCCAAGATGCACTTCCAGGGCACTGTGGTCAGTCTAGATGTGTTAGTCCAGCCAGAGTGTTGCAGACTTTGTGGTGTACACTGCTGGGGAAACACCTCAGCGCTTTCTTGCTTTCTCCCTCACATAGCAACTCCTCCATGCAGATACCCTGATTAATTCATGTTCCTGACAAGCATATGCTCTGGACTGGGATCCTTTGAGAACTCAGGAGCATGGAGAGCCTTAAGGATTTAGGGTAGACAAAACATGTCTGTATTTTACCTCCCCAAGGCCTGACCGGGTTGTGGGAAATGGACAGGTCAGCCCTAAGCGCTCAGTCCTTTATGGAGAGACCCAAGCCTGGGATCGTGTGTCAGCTCTCACAGAAAGGTGCTCACTTTGCTATGTGCTTTCCGTTCTGTCCAGTGGTCCACGGGCTCTGCTGGTTGGAGCAGAAGTGACCAGCAGTTACTGGTGTTTTCTAGAACAACTGACAACTCTAGGATCCACACTATGGCTCCTGGCAGGGTCAGCTTATGCTATTTTGGAGAAATTTAGGGAACTCTTAGACTGTAGTCTCCCCAAAAGCCAATATATGGGAGATGACCAATAAGTATTTGTGGAATTGAATAAACAAACAATTCCCAATTTGGGGCTTCCCTTAAGACACTGGTAACTCCAGATGGAGCTCCATACTCATTGGAAGGGAAGAAGAGAGTGGGCTCCTTTATGGTCTAGGGGCTCTCACCTGTGCAGTCAATAAAATCTACCTGACGTAGACATTAGTGTGGTGATATGTTGGCGTCTTACAGAGTCCAAGAGAGTCAGAAGGATAGCAGGTCCTCAGAAAAACCTAGAGTCAGGAAAGCTGAGAGCCATCAGAAAGGGCACCTACTCCCTTTATGATTCTCTCCAGGGAGAAGACCCTGGGCTCAATATCTACCTCTACTTGAGCCAAATAGACAGAATGGAATTAGAACAGTGTTTAAAAACCTTTTCATGGCCGGGAGTCTTCAGACTGGGACAGCACCCTGAGAATCAGGGCTAGACACATGAAGCATAGCGTTGGGTAACAGCGTCTAGGCCCATACTACTTTTTGACTCAAGCTCCATGAAAAGAAGGAAGGGCAGGAAAAAGAGCCTACAGCAGAGGTTCTCAACTTGTAGGTCACAACCCCTTTGGACTGTATTAAAGGTTCATGGCATTAGGAATGTCGAGAACCACTGGCCTAGAACAAGATTCTTCATTTCTAGAGACAGGAGAGGAGCAGGCTCAGGCAGAACTGATTCATGGATTAGGGAGCTCTGGTCTTTCCTGAAGTGTGGTGCCTCTGACCACAGGTGTCCTAGGCTTTCAAAGTCAACTTGGGTATTTCTCATTCCTTGTGTTCTCTGCTTCTAATTGTCTGTGATTACCTTCATCTCAACCCTAGTATAAACTCTGGCTCACTATCCCTGGGTCTTATAGTGGGGGGTGTATTCTCTCTTCTTGTATATTCTAGTCTTAATTCTCATATGTTTGCTTAAGATATTCTAAATGTATTTCAAATCATATTACCTGAAGTGACAATAAAAAGAATTATCATCAATGTTTGAATTTGGGGGGGGGGTTTGCAGTTTTTGGCCAGGGTTGGGTTTGAACCTGCCGTCTCTGGTATATGAAGCTGGCACCTGACTCCTCTGAGCCACAGGCACTACCCAGTGTTTGAATTTTTTTACTTGGAGCATGTATTAATTTTACAAACAATTAAACAGTAAAAAAGATCACGATGAACACAAAGATTTAATTATAAGGATATTCACTGAAGTGTGTTGTTTATGATAGTGAAAAAATAGAATGCTACATATCCAATAGAAAAAGATTGAATAAATTATGCAACAGAAAATTATGCAGCTGGTGTCGCCTGTGGCTCAGTGGGTAGGGCGCCTGCCCCATATACCAAGGGTGGCAGGTTCGAGCCCTGCCCCAGCCAAACTGCAACAAAAAAATAGCTGAGCTTTGTGGCAGACGTCTGTAGTCCTACCTACTCTGGAGGCTGAGGCAAGAGAATCACCTAAGCCCAGGAGTTGGAGGTTGCTGTGAGCTGCGACACCATAGCACTCTACCGAGGGCAATAAAGTGAAACTCTGTCTCAAAAAGAAAGAAAGAAAGAAAGAAAGAAAGAAAATTATGCAGCCATAAAAATGCTGTTGTAGACATATAGTTACTAATGTAAAGATGTTTGTCATATACCAAATGGGGAAGAAAGCAGGTTATAAAACATTATGTACTATATAATCACATTTTTTGTTTGTTTTAAAAATTCTTTCTGGTGGTAAGACAGATTTCTCAAAATCTCCCATAGCAGAATACCTGAATGCTACAGAAAGCATAACAAACATATATTTTAAAATTTATTAGGAATTCCTAAGAAAATAAAGATAATCCTCCAAGGACATCTCCCTTAAACTAGCAAAATAACACAAAATAAAAGGAAATAGTAAGTAAACTAGGAGGTTAACTATCTAGAAGCCTTGAGCTTTGGGGCCTGGGTATGCATTTAGGGGTTGGGGAGAACTCCAGAATAAGCCCTGGGGTCTAGGGAGATGGGAGAATGAATCTGAGACAACTGTACTCCCCATAAAGCTGGGACCATCAAAGTGGCTACATTCTTTTTTTTTTTTTTTTTTTGAGACAGAGTCTCACTTTGTCACCCTTGGTAGAGTGCTGTGGCGTCACAGCTTGCAGCAACCTCACAAACTCTTGGGCTCAAGTGATTCTCTTGCCTCAGCCTCCCAAGTAGCTGAGTCTACAGACAACCACCACCATGCCCGGCTATTTTTACAGACAGGGTCTCACTGTTGCTCAGGCTGGTCTGAACTCCTGAGTTCAAGCAATCCACTCTCCTTGGCCTCTCATAGTGCTAAGATTACAGGTTTGAGCCACCACGCCCAGCCTAGTGGCTACATTCTTAACGGAAATGAAAAAGTTCTCTTTATTGTCGTAGGAAGCTATAAGAAAATCTGTCTAGGCTATAGTACTATATATTAAAGTTAATAAAAATGTTAGTTTCCATGTGAGAAACATGATCCTATGGCTGGAATGTTTACTTTCCTTTTAATCAAGTAAACTGAAAAATTTAAGTGGTCTCAGATTATTAATCTCCCCTAGTGTCCAACAGAAAGAAATTAAATCCTCCTTGCAGGAAATCACCCTCAAGCCAGTCTGTTGGATTAAATTCAGCCAAATATAAACTCACAAAAAAATTTCTAAACATATAAGGATTCAAACCACCATAAAAGAGAATGAGCAGAAACAACAGGTTTAAATTTTTAAGGACTTCAGAAGTTGGATTCATCAGGTAAAGAATCTAAAGATGCTATTGTAAAATATTTAAAGAAATGAGAAATGGAATAGAGGCTCGGCGCCTGTGGCTCTAGCGGCTAAGGTGCCAGCCACATATACCTAAGGTGGTGGGTTCGAATCCCCAGCCCGGGCCCGCCAAACAACAATGATGGCTGCAACCAAAAAATGGCCAGGCGTTGTGGCGGGCGCCTGTAGTCCCAGCTACTTGGGAGGCTGAGGCAGGAGACTCGCTTGAGCCCAGGAGTTGGAGGTTGCTGTGAGCTGTGATGCCATGGCACTCTACCCGGGGGATAGCTTGAGGCTCCGTCTCAAAAAAAAAAAAAAAAAAAAGAAAGAAAAATGGAATAGAAAAAAATGAGCAAGGATAGGATCAAAAACAGATTTAGAGAAAAATAAAATACCATAAAATGTAAAAATATTCATAACCATTATAATTAAAATTGTGATGCTTGGTTAAACAGAAGATACAGATTAAAAAGAGAATTAATGTCCTGAAGGATGGATCTGAAGATATTCTTCAGAATTTAGCAGAGATAAGCAGATAGAAAAGATAGGAGACAGGCCGGGGATGGTGGCTCATGCCTGCAATCCTGACACTCTGGGGCCAGGCGTGGTGGCTCATGCCTATAATCTTAGCACTGGGAGGCTGAGGCAAGAGAAGTGCTTGAGCCTAAGAGTCTGACATTGCTGTGAGCTGACGCCACAACACTCTACAAGGGCGACAAAGTAAGACTCCGTCTCAAACAAACAACAATAACAACAACAACAACAACAACAACAAATTAACATTCTGGGAGGCTGAGCTAGAAGCATTGCTTGAGCTCAGGAGACTAGCCTGAGCAATAGTGAGATACTCATTTTGACTAAAAATAGAAAAATTATCTGGTATAGT